GCAGCTGGCAGGGCTGGGGAGCAGGGAGGGGCCAGGACAGACAGTCATAATTATATTTCTGGGTCTAGGGGAGAAGGGGGAAAGGACCATGCTGGGTCCCCAAGAAAGAGGGGCTGTGTCTGGTCCTAGAATGGCCCATGGTGCCCAGGGTCATGTCTCCCTTCTCTCCACATCCCTCTCACTCCACTACCTCATGCAGAACCTGAGCCCACGGGTGCCCTGCCCATGCCCACCTCTCCCTACTACCTGTCCCTGAGCGGCGTGGGGCAGTAAGCTTTGCTGCTACACTCCCCACAACCATCCTCAGGAGGGCACTTCCCCTCCACCGTGCTGACATGACCAACCCCCTGAGCCTCCTTCCCCAGCTGCTGGGTGGCACTGTCTGGTACGCCAGCTGCACACTGATCCAGAGGCTGTCACATACCTGCCGAGAGCCTGGAAGCTCCAGCTAACAACGGCCCTGAGTCTTCTGACCAGAATTTGCAACCCAGTTCTACCTCATGACGGGGGATGGAGGCCCTGTGCAGATCACTCCTCCCCTTTAGGCCTCAGTTTTCCTATCTGCAAAACGGGGGTTTGGGTTGGGTCATCGCCAAAGGCTCAGAATCTACCATCTACATTCAGTGGCTCAAGAATGAGAGGGGCTGGGCTGGTGGCCTCACTAGAGAGCAGACTCCAGAGATTACCCAGCCCAGCCCCTCCCACTCTTCCAACCAGAGGGAAAACTGAGGCCCCAGAGAGTAAGTGACCAGTATAGTGTCCCAGCTCCATTCTGGGGTTGCACTTTAAAGCTAATTGGGGCCTCCTGCCCTCTGTTGTGTCCTGATCTGTCCCCAGGGAGGTGGGGGTGGAATGAAGGTGGGGCAGAGAGGACCCTCCTGCTGCAGATTCAAGTAGGGACCTCAAGCTCCCCAGCCCTGAGCTTCAGGCCCCCTTTAGGAGCAGACAGAAGTTAAAGCTGTAGCTGAAGCTGGAGGGGTCCAACCGGGAGCCCTGGGGGTGGGGGAGGACCTGCCCAGGGTTTCAGCAGGATGCAGACCCTGGGACGCCTTGAGACCACAGCACGTGCACCCGGGCTTGCACACTGGGTAGTGGGGGCAGATGGGATGGGTGGGGCTCCGGGGCCAGGGGCTGCCTCATGAGGGCAGCCCCCTGACCCCCAGCCTGCCCTGGCCCTTCTACCAGGCCCTCGGACCCATCCCCACCCCCGACTCTAGGACTTCTCCCACAACCAAGACCTGGCCCTACTCCCCGGTGACAGTGGCAGCAGCAGGGGCTTCTGGGGTGGCGCCAGCAGCGCTGCCGTCCTCTTGCAGCAGGAAGTTGTATTTGCCAAAGTCGTCGTCCCTTGGACACAGAAGCATGTCCTTGCGGGCCTTGGCCAGCTTCTGCTTCAGCACCTCGCGCCGGTCCAGCCATTCATTGAGCTCCTCCTGCCCGTGAGCGCAGCGGCACTTGTCCCCGTCTGGGCAGGCCTTGCCCTTCTGGAGCCTGTGGGCAGCAGGAGGCTCACTGCCCAAGCCCAAGCCCAAGCCCTGTCTAGCACAGGCTGCTGGGCCTGGGCCAGCTGCTGAACCTCCCCCAAGACAAGCCCCTCCCTGGGCAGCTCCAGTGCGCTGCAGGCTGGCACGTCCAGCCTTCTCCGGACCTGGCCTCGGGCTGCAAAGCAGGGGTCTGGCCAGGCCCCACCCCACCCTCCACCCCGTCCTGCCCAGCCCCATGCTGCTCGCATCCACCCCTTGTGTGCCATCTCCAGGCCGAGGGGAGTCGGACCGGCCCCAGCCTCCACCTCCCCGGGCCACCTCGGCGCTGCCCCCGCCAGCACCTGTCGCAGAGCCGGAACTCGCCCATGGGGAAGCGGTAGGCCCAGCCGCTGGCGTCGCTGTCGGACGTGAAGACCTTCTCCTTGTGCTTCTCGGACTGGATGTGCTGCTGCCACTGCTTCTTGCTGTTGCTGTTCTTGCCGCAGAGCCAGCAGTGGTAGCCCATCTGGGGACACAGCCACCATGGGTGCCCCCTCCTCACACCTGTGCCCTGAGGCTGAGCCCCTCCCCGCTGCCGTCCCGTCAGGCCAGAGCACAGCCCCGGCACACGCGGGGCGTTACCATGATGTCGGCGTAGTCCGTGGGCATCTGGATCTGCTTCTCCCCTTCCCGGGAGCTGATTGGGGTCCCTTCCCCCGGCTTCCCTGGGTTGTGCTTCTTCAGCCACATGTCGTAGGTCTGCTGCATGTCCAGGACTGGTGGGAAATAGGGGACAGAGTGCATGGTGAGGGGAAGCTCCATCCATTCCGCCCTGTGACCCCCGCTGGATGGGAGAACTGGAGGTCTCAGGCCCTGCGGCTGGGCTGCCCGGTCACCCCCAGGAGACCAGTGAGGGTGCGGCCTGGTGCGCCTGGAGAAGGGCCCGGTGCCTAAGGTGGTCTTGGGCCTGCTGAGGAGCTGGGATGTCCAGCAATGAGGGGACACAGGGCCAGGCCTCCATCCCACCCGCTCACTCTTGTTCTCCTTCATGAACGTCCACATGTCCCTCTCCTCTGGGCTGTGTGCGAAGGAGCAGTTCCCCACATACTGGCACTTGCGGCCATTCTGCGCGTGGATGCAGAGCTGTGGGATGGGCGAGGGGAGAGCCTGCTGAGTCCCGCTGGATTGTGCCACTGCCCCAGCCGGAGGGCAAGCCCTCCTGGGGCCCCATGGCACCCCACCCGAGGTCCCGCTGCCACCCTTCACCCCACTGCAGCACTCACATCGTATTGCTGAGGGAAGTTGCGAATGGATGGCAGTGGCCTCACAGACACCCATTTCCTCTTGGCCTTGGACATCACCAGAAGGACCCGCCGCTCCTTGGTCCAGCTGCGGGACAGAACAGGGGGCTACTTGGGGAGGGCTTGGGCAGAGCCTCAGACTGTGTGACTTCCACAGAGAGCCACAGCCTCCTCACCTGTGGTGCTCAGGGGCCCCCAACCAGCCCGCACCCCACTCACCAGTGCCGGGCCTTGGCACTGCAGTACTTGAGGTCTTTGTCAGGCTCCACCACCTGTCCGTTCCTCCAGCACTGGCCGCACACAAATTTCATCTGCAGGTCAAAGGTGCTGGGCCCATGTGTCCGTGGGGCACCCTGTGGGCAGAGGAGCTGGTGAAGCCACAGGCACCAGGGCTGAGGCCCTGAGGTCCATCATGAAGGTGGCCTCTGGGAGCATTAGGGCTGCCCAGAGCCTTGGAATGGGCCAGTCCATTACAGCTTACTGGCGGGAAGTGACACCCAAACTCCAGGGCCATGGCCTCTTAATGTGGAAGCGAGGCCTGGGATGGGGCTCCTGACTCCTGATCCAGTTCTCTCTGCCTTAGCTGGCTAGTCCACATGGGTCTGCTCTGCGGGGCTGCTGGCATTTCTCTGGGCACAGCATGAGACCTCATGCCTCCCTGCCTTTGCATATGCTGTTCCCTTTCCTGGAATGCCATTTCTCTGTTCTTCATTAGGTTTTTTCTAGAAATTTTCAAAACTCAGCTCAAGCACCTCCTTCAGGAAGTCTTCCTGGAGCTCTCCTAAGTGGCAGGTGCCCATCCTCTGAGCTCCCATAGCACCTAAACTACTTCATATTGATTGACTCATCTAGTTAGGAGGGCTGGGCCTGATGGAGAGCAGGGCCCAGAAGGTAGAAAGCAGGGCCAAGAAGGTGGAAAGCCACCTGCAGTGGGTGGGGATAGAGGGGCCTGCGATGCGCAGTGGGACATACTTCTGGGCAGCCCTGGACACTCTAAGGCCCCACAGTGTTCATTCCCCATCCTCTGCCCAGCCTTTCCTTTGTAGGCAGGATTTCCTGCTCTTCTGCACCCCTGGGTGAGGGTCGGGGGCAAGAGGTGAGAAAAGTGCCCACCCAGCCTTGTCTCCTACAACCTAGCTGCCCCCTCCTGTTAGCTAGAGCCTCCTATCCTTCCTGGAGTCTCAAGATACGGGGCCACCCCTCCAGGCAGCACTCTCTCTCCAGGCTGGCTGGTACTTGTCCCCTGCCATGGATGCACCCGTGGCCCTGGCACTGCCCAGCCCAGGGGCTGCCCTGGAGCAGGAAGGGATTCTGTCCTTGTGTGTTGACTGACCCCTGGCCGGTAGCTGGAAGACTGCAGCCTGGCTTGGCCCCAGGATAACACACACATCGTCCCAATAAAGCCACAGACTTATCCCTGGGACATGGCCTGTGCTAGGGTGAGCAGGTTTGACTGCATCACTATTAACTTCTAGGTGTACCACTGGATTCTCACCTTTTCACAGGGGAGCTATGTGGGGCAGGAGGGGTGCTGTGGCTTAGCCACTGTGTGAACAAACTGCCACAGCAGGTCACTTTTTATAATGGCCCAGTCTCACCTCTTGCTGCAGCCCTGGGAGTATGTGGGATCATTCCCACTTGACAGAGCAGAAGCACAGGTTCAGGGAGGTCACTAACCCACCCACAGGTAAGCGGCCTGAGGACAGGGACCTGGCGTGAGGTGGGTGCTCATGCTTCTTTGTGGGATGGCACAGCTGTGCCCCAGGCACTGGCTCAAACAACTGTACCATGGCACCTCATTCTTGGCCCCACCCTATGATGGCAAGCAAACAAGACGCCCATTCCCGGGTGAGGACCAGGCCTGGCATGGAAACCCGGTTCCAGAGCCAGGCCTGAGAGAGGCATCTTGGTGAGGAGGGTGGGGTCTGGCAGCAGGAGGGGGTGGAAGCCTGTCATGGTACCCCTGGGCATCTGGGAGAGCGCCCAGTCCCGGGGACCCTGGCAGCAGTCCTGGGCAGGATGGGGGGTCAGAGGGATAGGAGGCGGCAAGGATTCAGTGTTTTCTCTCTAGAAGACAATGCTGCAGGTCCAACCTTAGCCCCTCACTAGTGCTCAGCTGGGCTCCCAGCTAGGAGCAAAACTAAACCACTTGGGACAGGGATGGAGGAGGGGAGCAACCAGGAAGAGGGGACAGAAAAAGACCAGACACAAGGGGGCTAGGAAGAGAGAGGCAAGGCACAAGGGGGCCGGGCAGCCCTGTTGACCGCCCAGCCTGCCCTGCTCCCTGGCTCACTGCCACACCCAGGCTGGCCTCAGGATGGGCCAAGGGCCCAGTGTGCTCCCATGTTGATCAGTGGGTGGGCCTGGCAAAGTGAGGGAGTTGTCCCTCATGTATGGATGGCACAGAGGAGTCATATCATAGCTGCCATCTTCTGTGCCCTGAGACCACCCTGTCTGTCCCCACTGTCATCTAAGTTACAACCACCCCTACCTCCTGGGGCAGGTGTGAGGATCGGGGATGGCACAGGGCCAGTGCAGAGCCGGGACCCAGAGAGCTGCAGCGTGGTCGGCTCCTGGGAGTCCCACACCTACCCTGGGAGATGGCAGGCAAGACTATGGTCCCCATTATACGGATGAGGAACCCTCAGGGGTGAAGGGCATGGTGCAGGATGGAGGGAGCAGAACAAACTCCAAACAAGACATCAGAGAACCTGGGATTTATTCCACTACGTGTGCCCCTAGGCAGGTCTGAGAATGCTCGGAGCCTCCCTGCCCTCATCTGCAAAAGCCACAATGCCACAGCTCAATCTTCAGGACCAGGGAGAAGCTCAAGAGGGACGGGGGTGGGGTGGGGGGGTGACACAATCCGTGGATGAAAGTTTGAGGAAAATCAGGGTATTTACATAGTCTCAAGTATCTCCCCAAAAGATAGTTATTAATTACAAAGGGAAAAACTATAACTTCACAGTGGAGGCACCTTATATCAAGTTATTAGCAGTAAAAGGACAAATCAGATGATGGCCTCGTGGTGAGTGGCCCGAGAAGGACATCACATCACCCTGAGGTTTGAGGAACCATTGGACAATCCCAGATGGACGGGCCTTTTACAAAGCAACCGGCTCTTCACAAATGTCAAGGTCATGAAAGAAAGACTGAGGAACTGCTCCGCATTAAAGAAGACATAAGGGACATGGTGGGTGAATGCTGTGTGTTACTCGGGACTTGGGAATGATTCACAGATCTGACAGCAGGACGCCAGATTCTGAACCGTTACACCAACGTTGCTTTTGTGATGTTGATAACTGTCCTGTGGTTAGTATGTAAGGGAGTGTTTTTATTTTTAGGAAATACACACTGAAGTATTTAGGGCTAATGGGGCATCGTGTCTGGAACTTATTTTCAAATAGTTCACAAAAAAAGTGTGTACATTTCTGTACATAAATGTGTATGTGTAAGTACACACATACACACAGGACAAAGTGAGTGTAGAATGTGGTAAATGCTCACTTCTAGGGAATCCAGGGTATACACATATTCGTTGTACCATTTTTACAATTTTCTGGTAAATCTGAAATTATGCCCAAGTAAAGGGATAAGGCCTGACCCCACCCCCATCGCCAACCCGGGGCCTTACCAAACTGCTGCTGGCCTTCCCCGCGTGGGCCTCCATCTGCTGCCAGTATTTCTTGGATTCCTGGACGATATCTTCATGGGTCATGCCTAGGAAGGGTGAGAGCAGACATGGGTGTCCCTGAAGGAGCTCAGAGAGGAGGGGCAGGGATCTGAGAGGTGCTGGTGCCACCCCAGGCCAGGTGGAGGGGCCCCTTCCCCAGTGAGGCCTGCCATAGAAAAGGCGGGGTGCAGGGAAACCGCCGCGGCCTCTGGGCCTGTTTGTTCTGCGACTGGGACAGAGGCCTGCTCTAAGCCGCCACAGGCTCTGAGGAAATAAAATGCAGCCAAGAGTGGGAAATGTGGGACAGAGATGCTGGCTTGCAGCAGGGCATGGTGACTCCCTGACCCTGTGCCACTGTCCCCGTTTTGAGCCAGCTGGTCAGCACCTTGCCTTGACCCGTCTCACTCAGTGGGGCCTCGGCCTGATCCCTGCGTGCAGCCTCCAGCCCACTGGTTCTTAGGGCTCCGTGCCTGGCCCCAAGTTCACTGAGGGCCCCAAGTCATGCCTCTTCACTGCCAGTCTGGTGGCTCAGACCTTCCCAATCTGACTGCTGACACCGAGTCCCCCTCTGGGGTGCAGCTTGGAGCCTCTCCCACGAAGCCAACCCCCCTCCCATCCCTCTCCAGCCTTCTAGTCCCTTTCCCAGAACTGATTTCGCTTTAGACATTGTCCTGTGGATACTGCTCCACGGTGGCCGCTCTGTCATCACCCACTGACTCTGGGCCAGCCACTGTGCCTGACATCTGTTTTCTTGCTGATGGTTCCCAAATACGCATCTCCAGCCCAGACCTCTCCCATGAACTTTCAGGGTGCGCATCCGGCTGCCTGCTCAGCATCTCCACTTGAAGTCCACAGGCAGCTAAAACTCCCACATCCCACACTGGGCCTGGATGTGACCCCCAAACAACCTCCTACACCTTCCCCCTCTCAGGGCAGGGCAACCCCATTCTCCCAGTTACTCTGGTCAGAAACCCTGGAGTGGGGAGAAGTGAGTGTCCTGGACCAGGTGGAACACGCACTGCTTACACTGTCTGCCTTGCCCTCGCGTACACAGACCAGCCCTGAGAGCAAGGACCTCACTGGTTCTACTCAGTCCCGACACAGAGTAGGTGCTCAATGACTCTGTTAGGTGAGTGAGGGAGTGAAAGGGAGTGAACAGTTTTAATCCCAACTGTGACGCAGGGATGATCACCATTTCACAGATAAGCAAATGGAGGCTCAGTGATGGGGGGTGACCTCTGACCACCACCCAGGTAGCCAACGGAGCAGGATCCCGGCTCCGCCTGCCTTTGCCTGCTCCCCTGGCAGTGCCCGGAGAGGGGGAAACGCAGGATCCTCTGAGCCTGGCAGCTCCCTGAGACTCAGCGGAGCCTTTGTGATGTTTAGGAAACCTCGGCTCCCTCCTCTGAACCAAATCCCTCTCCACCTGCCACCGGGCAGCCACCCACCCTGAGCAAGAGCCTGCCCCTGCCGGTGCCCACCTGAGTACTGCTGCAGCAGCCAGACTTTGAGCTCAATGAAGCTGTGGGCGAAGTGGCAGCTGTCCTCCCGCAGGCAGCCGTAACGCACCTCGTGGCGGCACACATCGAACTGGAAGTGCTCCTGGAACTGGCGGATCTTGGAGTACTTGAGGGAGGTGGAGCGGACGATGTGCACCAGGCACCTGAGGGCATGTGGGGCACAATGCAGTCCGCAGCCCCCAGCCTGCTGGGGCCGCTCTCCCCAGTGCGGGCAGGCTGAGGGGAGGGGCTTCTCCCGGGTGCCTCCTGCCCTGTGGACTGTCTACAGCTCAGAGGCACAGGAGGTGACAGGTGGAGGTGCTACGCTCAGGCAGCCCTAGGCTAGAGCCCCAGCTGTGTGCCCCTCTCCTGGCCTCAGTCTGGGGTGAGCTCAAGGATGGAGCTGCCCTCAGGAGCAGGACACCAGCTCCTACCTACTATGAGGCTGGGAGGAGGGAGCGCCAATGGGTGGGAGGAGGGGCATTTCCCTTGGGTTCCCCAGCCTAATGCTCCAGAACTGGCCTTGCACCCACAATAATAAAGCACCTCCTCTGGGCTAGTGATTTCAGTTATCCTCACAGCAACCTTGGAGACTTGGGATCGTCATCAACTGTACAGATGAGGAAACCAGGGTCACAGTGGCCAGAGGACATAGGACAGGCCACTGACCAGGCTGGGACTTGGACTCAGATCTGTCTGACTCCAGGGCCTGGGCTTCATCATTCCCGCTGCAGCAGAGCCAAGGGGGTCAGAGGAAGCAAAGGTGGTGCCTGGCTTATCCAACCCCTCCCACTCTGTCTGACTCTGGTGTCATGAGAGTGGCGGCCACCGGTTGGGAGTCAGAGATGTAGCCTCCCACTAGTCTGAAGAGTACTTCTGAGCCTCAGCTTTCTCATCTGTACAACACAGAGAGTAACTCCGCCCTCACGGGACTACAGAGATCATTCAGACACCCCAGAGAATGCTTGGAATACACATGCTCAAGACAGGTGGTTCTGTCTGTCCTTCCCAGGTGGATGCTGGATCTGAGTCCTAAATTCTGCCCCTTGCCTGGACACCCTAGGTCCACCCTCTGGCCTCAGCTGCTTCCCAGGCATCTGAGCTGCCCCAGGGAGCCTCTCCACGCACCCCCATGCCCCAGCCAGGCTGTGGGTCCCACTCACTTGTTGTTATAGAAGCTGTGCTTGGCAGCCAGGTTGGAGCAGACGGACGGAGAGTCCTTTGTGCCTTTGCTGATGATCCGGGGTTTACTGTCAAAGCAGATCTGCCCGGGGAGGGGGCAGGCTGGGACCCAGCATGGCCACCCGGGGTGGGGGGTGGACAGATGGGCCCCTGTAAGCCCTGCCTTGAGTACCTGAGTCTGGGAAGTGAGGAAGGGAGTCCCAGGGTCTGTGGCCCCTGCCTCTCTGGCTCTAGCTCGCAGGTAACCTGGGCTGGGCTCTCCCTGATCCCACCCCTCATTGGGTGGGGAGTCACCATGCCATGCCTAGGGCAGGGGTTACTCCATGCCTTTGAACTTCGGCTTCCTCAACTGTAAACTGGGGATAACCACACAGCGTCTGTCCCACAGGGTCACTGTGAGGCTCAAAAAGAATATAACCAAACTGCAAGTGTTTCATAAAGTACATGCAGCCGCGAGGCTGGGACCTGTGATACCTAGGCCCCCTGCACCCCAAGTCTGCCTGCTCTGAGTCAGAGAGAGGGGCTGGGTGTGCAGTGGATAGGGGTTAGGCTGAGCTGCACCAGACCCTGCCAGCAGCCTGGGCCCAGAGCTCTCACTCCACGGATCTGAAGCCGCCCATGCTAGGACTGGGTGGGGAGGCACGGCCCCTAAGGGTCCTCTGTGACAGCTCTGGTGAGGGAATTAACAACAGCCTGGAGGTGCTGGCTGGATCAGAGCTGGGCCTCAGAGGGTCTGAGGACACTCCAGGGAGGATACCGGCTGGACACATGCAGAGANGCCTGGCTTATCCAACCCCTCCCACTCTGTCTGACTCTGGTGTCATGAGAGTGGCGGCCACCGGTTGGGAGTCAGAGATGTAGCCTCCCACTAGTCTGAAGAGTACTTCTGAGCCTCAGCTTTCTCATCTGTACAACACAGAGAGTAACTCCGCCCTCACGGGACTACAGAGATCATTCAGACACCCCAGAGAATGCTTGGAATACACATGCTCAAGACAGGTGGTTCTGTCTGTCCTTCCCAGGTGGATGCTGGATCTGAGTCCTAAATTCTGCCCCTTGCCTGGACACCCTAGGTCCACCCTCTGGCCTCAGCTGCTTCCCAGGCATCTGAGCTGCCCCAGGGAGCCTCTCCACGCACCCCCATGCCCCAGCCAGGCTGTGGGTCCCACTCACTTGTTGTTATAGAAGCTGTGCTTGGCAGCCAGGTTGGAGCAGACGGACGGAGAGTCCTTTGTGCCTTTGCTGATGATCCGGGGTTTACTGTCAAAGCAGATCTGCCCGGGGAGGGGGCAGGCTGGGACCCAGCATGGCCACCCGGGGTGGGGGGTGGACAGATGGGCCCCTGTAAGCCCTGCCTTGAGTACCTGAGTCTGGGAAGTGAGGAAGGGAGTCCCAGGGTCTGTGGCCCCTGCCTCTCTGGCTCTAGCTCGCAGGTAACCTGGGCTGGGCTCTCCCTGATCCCACCCCTCATTGGGTGGGGAGTCACCATGCCATGCCTAGGGCAGGGGTTACTCCATGCCTTTGAACTTCGGCTTCCTCAACTGTAAACTGGGGATAACCACACAGCGTCTGTCCCACAGGGTCACTGTGAGGCTCAAAAAGAATATAACCAAACTGCAAGTGTTTCATAAAGTACATGCAGCCGCGAGGCTGGGACCTGTGATACCTAGGCCCCCTGCACCCCAAGTCTGCCTGCTCTGAGTCAGAGAGAGGGGCTGGGTGTGCAGTGGATAGGGGTTAGGCTGAGCTGCACCAGACCCTGCCAGCAGCCTGGGCCCAGAGCTCTCACTCCACGGATCTGAAGCCGCCCATGCTAGGACTGGGTGGGGAGGCACGGCCCCTAAGGGTCCTCTGTGACAGCTCTGGTGAGGGAATTAACAACAGCCTGGAGGTGCTGGCTGGATCAGAGCTGGGCCTCAGAGGGTCTGAGGGCACTCCAGGGAGGATACCGGCTGGACACATGCAGAGGAGGCAGGGAGGTGCAGCGGGCACTGAAGTCAGCACAACTGGACAAGGCAGAGTGAGGAGGGGGCATGAGAGCCAAAAGCCTGGCGCTGAGCCTGGCCCACTGCGGCCGTGAGGGAAGGGGAGGTCTGGCCTGTTCCCCCTCCACAGTGAGGGGGCCAGATAGGCCTGGGCTCCAGCATGACAGCAGCCTCTGAGCCTAACTTCCTAACAGTCTAAGCACCCACTGATCTAGGGTCAGGCCTCCGACCCCACAGGTTCCAGGGCTGATGCTCCACGGCAGCACGCGCCAGGGGCCCTCCCCAGCCCTGTCTGTGCCATCGACCGCGGAGGCGGCCGGGGGGCGGGGGCAGGCAGGTACCTCGCAGAGGAAAGTGAAGATGCCCTGGTGCTCCTTAAGGAGCTTGGCGATGGTGAGGCTGCCGCGCTTGACGCCCCCCAGCGGGTCAAAGAGCAGGTCGCGGTTGAGGGTGCCCTTCCGCTCCTCGGTCCACACGTCGATCTCCTCCTGATGGTAGGCGAAGGTGCAGTTATCCCCGTACTTACAGTCCTGCTTGTTAATCATGTCTGCAAAGAGGCAACAGGACATACGTTCTGCCAGGCGGGAAGGCAGCCCGCAGCGCCCCCATGACCACCGCTGCGGCCCGCGGGGGCCAGCGACCCCCCGGCGGGGCTTGGACACATCTCTGACACGTGGACAGTGGCCTACCCACCTCGAGGACTTGGGAGGGGTGGCGTCGCAGGGCTCAGGGAAAGCCCTTTCCAGGCCGGGCCCCCTCTTCGCTCTACACCTGAGTGGGTGGGGTGGGGATTTGCGTTTCCATCTCCAAAGCATGGCTATCACTGGGCTCCACCACCCAGAGTTTGAGGGTGTGTGAAGGGGGCACAAAAGGGCGACAATATGTAACACTTAACAGTATTGCGACTGTCACATATCACTATGCAGACGGCACCAAGATGCTTGGTTGAGGAACAGAAGCACTTAAGGTACATGGTAACCATCCATTACATTTCGACCAAGCTGACATGAGCCAGAAGTGAGGACAATGACATCAGGATAATTTTTAAAAGCTAACATTACTGAGCCCTTCCTGTGGGCCCGTCCTAAAGCCTCCACATGGGTTCTTCCCACATGGGTCCGACACTCAGGCAGCCCTGTGGGACCCCGCAGCAGTAACGAGCTAGTCTCCACGGACTGTCCGACCCTCGCGCGGGAGCACAGGCCACCGGCTCGAATGTAGCATCCCGAACATTCCCGCCCGTCTGCAGAGCTGCCAGGGCGGGAGATGCTCATTCAGGTGTGAGAGTCAACCTCTGTGGCCACACCTGCTCTGTCTACCTCAGTCCACCTGTGACGAAGAGCAGAGCACCAGCCTGGTGTGGGGAGAGCCGGCCCTGTCGCAGGACACCCACCTTTGCACAGATAGTAGGAGCCCACGAAGCTGGTCTTGGTGGGCCGGGGCCGGATCCGCTTCCAGGTCTGGTCCTCGGAGCTCCGGAGCCGGCCGAGCAGGATGTCCCGCTTGCACTTATGCTCCAGGCCCTCACGGTAGGTGTAGTCGCCAGCCCTGGGGCCTGTGCGTGCAGGGTGGATGGGGACTGTGACTCCGGAAGCAGAACTGAAGGGTGACGGCTGAGGGACCCACGCCGTGGGAATCGACCTCCTGCCTAAACACCTACCTCCTCCCCCTGGGCCTCCGCCGCATCCTCCCACACCATATGCCCCCTGGGGCCTGAGGCGGGGGGAAGGCCCTTCAAGGAGCCCCTTCTCAGCACCCTCCCCTTTCTACCTGAGCATTTTGGTGTTTCCTAGGATGAATTACGAGGACAGTGCCCAGCTGAGAGCAGCCTCCACAACACCTCCCTTGTGCTCCTGCCCCAATGGCATTGCCCAATTCACCCTCCCTCCCCTGCTCCCTTTTCTCTTCTTGGTCTTCTCAGATCTGCTGGCCAAGGGCCTCCTCTCCCCAGACACTGCAGTGGGGTGATCTCCTTAAGGGGACCAAGAGGAAATGGCCCCTGTGGGGCCCTATGTGATCTGGCTGCCAGCACCAGGTGTGCACCTGGGCCTTAGTCGGCTTCCCCAGTGGCATGTGGACCAGGGAGGTGGTCAAGGAGGAACTGCCTCATGGCACAGCCATCCAAAAGGTGGCATTCTGCTCTCCGTCTCCACAGGTCCATAGGAGCTCTGGTGGAGTGACTCTCAGTCAGGGGTGACATGTGTGTGGGTGGGGGGAGGTCCTGCAGCAGGTGGATGACAGGACCTGGATGACCTCTAAGGTCCTGTCAATTCCAATACCCTGAGATGGAGAATTCTAGACTGCTAAGATTTTTAACTCTGGGATCCCAAGAGAATATAATTCTAGAACTTCAGGACAAGGATGCTGGTAAACGAAACCCTGAGTCTTAGAGTCTAGAATTTTGAGATTCTTGGTGTGCTGAAATTCTTGGTGTGCATGGCTCAGTGGTTGAGCATCGACCTAGGATCCAGGAGATCGAGGTTCCATGCCTGGTCAGGGCATGTGCCCAGGTTGCGGGCTTGGTCCCCAGTGGGGGACGTGCAGCAGGCACCCGATCAACGACTCTCATCATTGATGTTTCTATCTCTTTCCCTCTCCCTTCCTCTCTCTGAAATTAATACTTTTTTTTTTTGGAAAATTTTAAACAAAAATTACCTACCAACCTTGGACATCTATTCTGAACTGCCTCACTTGGATTTGGGGTCTGGAAGATGAGGAAATATCTCTCCCAAACTCCTGCCCGCTGGGTGCTGGGCAGGCCTTGAAATCACCCAGTGACCCTCACTCAGGTGGAGCACGGAGAGGTTGGAGAGGTGCCGGCTGCATTCCCACCGGCAGATGGGTTTTGCAGCAGCCAGCTGGGTTCTGGACTCGGCACTGGCCTCTGGGCTGCAGGGCGGCCATGACGCTCACCAGCAGTGCCAGCAGTGCCCCTCCCTGTCCTCCAGCCTTCCTGGCGCTTCTGAAAGCCCCTAATTCCCACGTTATATCCCTGTCTGCTCGACATCCCTGAGGAGCTCCTGTTTCCCGTGCTCATCTCTGACTGGGACACTAGAATCCGTCATTCTGGCAGTCCACGCTCCTGAGATCCCCAGCATCTCTGGGCACAGGGGTGGAGTATGAAGGTGCACATTACCTGTTTTGGGGTAGCAGAGCTGGCAGGCCTGCTTGAACTCATGGGTGGCAGCCAAGGGGTTCTTGATGAGCAAGGCGGTGTTGGGCATAGAGGGCTCTGGCTGTGACAAGAGGGAATTGGCCATCTTGGGCACTGGATGACAGCTGGAGCCACCAGGGCCAGCCTGGGCACCAGAATTAGGGGCCTCTATGACCCTGCGATCCCATCCAAGAGCAGCACTGCAGCCCAGGACCCTCCCTCTTCCTCTATTCTCCCAGCTGGGGAGCTCCTTATAACACGATCCAAGAATTCAGAACATCAGGACTCGACCAGCCTTATGGGGCTGTGAGGGTGACAATGGTCTTGCTCTGGAGTCTCTCCTCGAGTAAATGCCCAACACAAAAGCAGAGAAATAGGAGTGGCCCCAAAGGGGGCCTACACACAAGCTGTCCCCCACCTTCTACTTCCCAAGTCCCCACAAGGATAAGAGAGGTTAGGTAACTTCCCTGGGGCCACACGGCTAGCGTCTAGCCTGAGGCATGAGTTCAGGCTGCCTACGTCCTGGTCAAGTGCCCTCCTACACTCAGAACCTGGCTGAGTCCTGACACCAGGGATGTTACTAACCCTGGAGAAGTTGCTTAGTCCCTCTGAGCCTCAGTGTCCTCTCTTGTCAGACCCCGGACAAGAGACCAATTCACAGCCCCATAAGGCTGGTCCAGTCCTGATGTTCTGAATTCTTGGATTGTGTTATAAGGAGCTTCCCAGCTGGGAGAATAGAGGAAGAGGGTCTGCTCACCCTCCCACCACACAGCTCCATTTGGAAGGATGAGAAGAGACCATCGCTGGCCTGTCTGTTCTAAGGGCCCCTCCTTGGGGGATGCAGCCCCTTGTCCCAGGCAGAGGGCTCACCCCCCACCCCCAAGTCCACAGCCACTCGCCTGCCACCCCCGGGAGGGCATGCGATGCCAGGCCACCAATCCTCACCAAGTCACTCACCGAGGGGGCTGGCTTCTGGGTACTGCTGGGGGGACGATGGTCCTGTGAATTGGTGTCCTCTGGGCAAGGAGAAGACACGGGGTTACCACCCTGCTCTGAAGGGTGTGAGGGGCCCTCCGAGGACCTTTTCCTCCATCTTTCTAACCCAAAGAAACCTCCCAGGCTGTACAGCTTCTCCCATTCATGCTGATCCCCTAACTCTAGCCCCACAGGGAGAGGGCAGTGTCCCAGCCTGAGCATGTCCACCTGTGCTTACATCTTCACACCCCCACTGTCCCCAGGAGAAACCCGAAGCACCTCTGCTTGGCTCACAGGTCTCCCAAGACCAGCTCAGGTCTTTAAGGCCCCCAACCAGCCCTGCCTCCTGCTCTGCTCCTCTGCCTTTGGAGGTGTCCCTCAGTCACGCAGGCCTAGGTTGAACTGCTCCCTCTGCTGGCAGAGGACCCCCTTCAAGAGGCGCCATCACCTCCTCCCTTGGCCCTGAGGCTGAGTGAAGCCCCTCTGTGTTCCTAGAGCCCGTGAATTCCCCTCGGCTGTGAGCTCTCTGGGCTACGTCTGACTGTGGAAAGCCGGTCCTGTAACGGCCCAGATGGGCCTGTTTCCTCTCTGGGTTCCTGGCACCCAGCTCAGAGTGTGCTGAAGGAGCCCATGGCCTTGAACCCCTTCCCCCAGCCTCAGGATCATCCCTGTGGGATCACCCCGGTTTAGCAACCCCAGGGCCCTGGAGGCTGGGCAGACAGCACCAGCCCGCAAGTCTGGAGTCCCGCCTATCCCAGCTCTGCTGTTCGACCTTGAACCAGATACCTGCCTGACACATGCTGAGAGCTGCAGGAGACACAGCACCTCAGAAGACATGGCCCTGGACCATGACCAGGTGAAGGACCTGGGCTTTGGCAGAGCAGAGCTGTAATCCCAACTCCATTCTCCGGAGACTGGAGCTGGGGATAAGGGGTGACTGTGCCCACCCGGTCTCACCCATGAAGGAGCTGGGCTTGTCCAGGGAGCCCCGGGTCGACCCGAAGCTGTCTAAGGCGTCCAGCCGGGTCTCTGAGTATGGCAGCAGGTCCAGGGAGTCCAGTGCAGAGCCTGGGGGTTCAAGGGCATCCAGCACAGAGGCAGCCAGCTTCTTGGAGGGGTCCATGACGAGGCCAAAGGAGGCAGGGGGCAGCGGGCTGGAGACGGGGATGGACCCACCCACTACAGGGGGCAGCAGTGGGGTCCCACCAGGGAACACAGGTATCAGCTGGGGCAACTCGCTGGGCACACCGCTGCCAGGCAGGCCACCCTGGACCAGAGTCTGCAAGGTGGAGAACAGAGGGGTTAGAGGAGAGCTTGACAGCCTAGACCTGGGCACAGTCGGGCACTGGGGGCAAGCCATCCCTCCGTGCCTTAGCCCTGGCCAACCCACAAGGTGAACCAGGAATCTTCACCGTCCCTTCGGGCTGCACATTCTGCATCTTTGAGTTTCTATCCCAAGCATGTCCCTTTCCCTCCCAAGGCCTGTTTCCCCGCCGTGACATGGAGATTGGCCCTTCCCTCCACCTGTCGTGGGACCTGAGGATGAGTGTGATGGAGCTCCGGGCGGGACAGGGACCAGGCAAGCAGAAGGGTGGCAGCATGGCTCACCAGTGAGTCCAGGAGGGTGTCCAGCTCAGGACCAAAGACGTCCCTGTCGGAGAAGTCATCCAGGCCCTCGGTGCTGGGCAGGGCCCTGCTGCTGCTGTCCAGGGGGGCCAGCAGGTCCAGAACATGCGGGAACATGGGCATCGTAGGGGTAGAGGGGAGGAGGGCCGGGGAGCCTCGCAGGTCCACGTAGCAGTCTGTGGAGGGGGGCAACTCAGTAGCTGCAGGGGGTCCTGCTTGGTGGGAGTGGGGAAGGTCCCCCAGGGCCCTGGGTTCCTCATCCAACACCTTCCCTCCTTTCCCCAGCTCCTGCCCGAAGCCGTGCCTGCCCCGCTGGCCTGACCCCAGTGGCAGAGGGTCCTTCAGTCCTACAACACGTCCCTGATGGGCCTGGCTCAGTGCCTGAATGCCTTATCTCTGAGTAAGCAGTGCCCTCTCAAGTGGCACTTTTAAAGTGACCCTTCCTGGAAACCAGTGAGGAAAAATGACAGAGGAGGACTTTGAGAGAGGTGTACTCTCCGGAGTGGGGGCCTGGAGTGGAGAACATGGGACCAGCACCACCCCACGTGAGGCAGTCCCTGCCCTCCCAGGCTGGAGGGCTGCTTCCCCGCCCTGCAGGGTGTCTTCCCTAACCCACTATTTGCTTTCATGATTCAGGGAGTCCCCAGGGCAGGGAGCCCTCAGGAGGCCTTGTCTGCAGCTACCCTGCCCCCTTGCATCAGGGACACTACCTGTTTCGATGTCATCTATGGACCCCAGTCCATTGGAAGTTCCCTGTGGAGAGGAAAGACATAGTGGGTTAGGCAGACACGGTCTGGGAGGCCTCGGTGCCCAGCATTCAGACTGTCACCTGGGCCCGAGTGACTACTGCTGATACTAACCACGGGACTGGACAGTATGGTCAGGAAGGCACCAGAGTGTGGATCTGGCTGTGTGTGTTGTGTGTCTGGATCTGGCTGTGGGGGGGGATGTGGTGTGTAAATCTGGGGCTGTGTGTGTGTGTATATGTGTAGTATGGTGTGTGGGTCTGGCTGTGTGCGCTGTGTGTGTGGTGTTATGTGTAATGGTGAGTGGATCTGGCTGTGTGGGGGGGGGATGTGGTGAGTGAATCTGGCTGTGTGTGTGTATATGTGTAGTGTGGTGTGTGGGTCTGGCTGTGTGTGCTGTTATGTGTCATGGTGTGTGGATCTGGTTGTGTGTGTGTTGTGTGTGGACCTGGCTATGTGTATTGTGTGTGTAGTGTGTGTGTTGTGTGTGGATCTGGCTGTGTGTATTGTGTGTGTAGTGTGTGTGTCATGGTGTGTGGATCTGGCTGTGTGTGTGTGTGTGTGTGTGCATGCATGCAGCACCACACTGGTGCACTAAAGCAGGCTCTGACCTAGTCTCCACCATGGAGTCCACTCTGCTTTGATTTCTCACAGATCCCCACCC